ATATAATAATAAAAATGAAGTAAAAGATCAAATAATTAAATGAATTGAATGCGAAATTAATTCTCAGAGCATATCATTTGCTTCAATCGACAGTAGATTTAAATTAATTTAAATAAAGACAAAAATTAATGTCAATAATCACGTGATCAGGAAATGTATAGAAAGGGTATTTAAAAGCGGCGATTATTGTGAATATATCGGTCTCCGGAACCCATATTAGAATTGCCGATAGAGTGGGATATGGGAGCCATACTTAAGGCTCCCATTGGGTTTTGCGAATACAAGTCCGAAATACCCGAATTGCTTGACATCATCCCAGAGTTTAGACTCGTTTGGCCTCTGCTTCGCGACTCATTGGAAGAGCTGAGCGCAGAATTCCATCGATTGCCCGACGATTGGTTGTACGGCTGCCCTCCGCCAGACATATGGACTCCGCTTCCGTACGAAACTTTGTTCATCGATGACCTGTCGCTCCAATTCCTCGAATCAGTTCCGTATCGAGAAGTGCCAAAACCAGAGGCCGATCCGCCACTCATTGGTTTGTCTGAATAGCGGTCAGAATTGCGACGAGAGTTGTATTGATTGGTCTTCCAGTCTTCGCGTTGAGGACCACCTATTTTGCGGTCGCGAGGAGTGAACGATGGGTTTCGAGTAGTGTCTCGATTGTAATACGACGGAGCGGTTCCACTCTTCCTCTCGTCCCTGTCGTGACTCACGCCATGTCGTGAGTCGTGACGTCTTATGTCAAACACAGTCCGAGTGTTTCCAGTGATCTGCGGCTCAAATCTTGTGTTTCGTTTATAGGATTCGTTGCGATTGTTATACGAGTGAGGAATTGAATGACTGTTTCGAGCATTAAATTCATTGCAATTTCAGTTTCGGGTATTTTTCTCGTCGATAACTATTTTAACCAAACGATGAATGACTTACCGATTGGCCACCGAAGGGCTCGACTCTGTGTAGGTCTGTCTGCCGGGTATTAATTGCTGATCCATTCGTTGCATGTGTTGCAGACGTTTGCGTTCCTCCCAATAGGAAGAGTCGTCGCGCGCCTCAAACGGCCTTTTGGTCAAAGTGGACACAACCGATGGTCGCGAGCGCTGGTCATCCACTCTATTCGTAATGATCGTCGCGTTCTGTCTTCGTCTCAATTCCTCTCTTTCCCTCTCAATCTTCTCCCTCTCGAGTTTCGCCCTCTCCTTCTCGGCCCTAAAGAACTCCGCCTTTTCTCTCTCGAGTCTCATTCGATCCATTTTGAGTCTCTCCTTCTCGCGCTCAAAGCGAATCCTTTCCTCTCTTTCCATATCCTTCTCGGCTCTCATCAACTCTTCGCGCGCTCTTCGCTCGTCACGGATTCGTCGCTCTCTTTCGCGTTCTCTGATCTGTCGGTCGACGTCTGGCCGACTGTACGCCGATATCATCGGTCGAATACCCCCTCGAATGAAACCACCGCCACGAGAGTAACCCATTCCTCGGGAATACCCGCCGCGCATGAATGACGAGCCGCGTGTGAACGAAGAGCTGCCTCTGAATCCAGAGCCGCCGCCACGAGTATAACCGGGTCTATGAAAGCCCCGAAAGCTACTACTGTTCTGATAGAAAGGCTTAATAAAGGGTTGGGGGCGACGAAAGGTAGGTCTAGTGAAGGGCTCGCGATCCCTAATGGGAGCGCGAATTGGTTTGCGCTTCTCCTCTTTGCTTTCACCCGTTTTTGAAGATCCGGCTTCGGATGACGTCTTGTTCGCAGTCTTCTCGTCGGAAGCCTTGCTTTTGCTCTTATCGTCGCTCTTCTCATCGCTTTTGGTCTCCTTATTGTCGCTCTCTTTAGAAGCGTTTGATTTATTGGGAGTTTTAGTGACCACTCGTTTGGAAGCATTGACTTTGTTTCGAGCGACGACTGACTTGGAAGTGCTCTCTTGTGGACGACTCTGAATCGATTGTTCACTCGCTTAGCATTTGGTTTTTAATATAACAATAATAATAATAATTGTCTTAAATATAGGGGAACTCACTCTCGAGAGGACAATAGTTTTTGAATGCAATTCAGATTTGTTTAACAGTGATATACATTTGGAGACCTGTTCGCTGTTTTCCATAGTTATGAAACCATAACATCGGGAACCAGTCATTCGGGCATTTTTGATGATCTTAGCGGACAATACCTTCCCGTGTTTTGTGAACAGGTTTTGCAATTCAGACGCTTTAGTGATGGGCGGGAGACCACTGACCCATATATTGCGGCCGTTAGTTGTCTGTGCCTTTTGTGCTGCGCTGGGGTCTAGTATTTCATTGCATTTTCAATATTTAGTTTTCATTTCAAAATACAAAGTATTTTAATTGAGTCTCAAAAGGAACTCACTTTTCGAGTCCTTATTTTTAAGTTTATTATCCTTTTGAACATTTGAACTGAAAAATAAAAAACTTATTATTATTTGAGGCCTTTTTAAGCGATTAAAAAGTATAATCATTTGACGATTTTATTAATTCGTTTAACACATTGTGTGCAAAAAAAATGCCCATTGGATTGACGGCTGGTATTAAAAGTCCATTTCATGGTTTCATATTTGATTCAATGTTCACAAACCTCTTGGATTTGGACGACTCCGTTATTTTGTTTGAATCTTTGGATGACTTATTCATGTCTTCATTACTGGACGCCTTGTTTTCATTTGATTCGCTCTTCGAATCCGAACTATTGTTGGATTCATTGATCGATTTGCGAATCGATTTGTTTTGTGTCACATCTTTGGACTCATTATTATCTGAATTGTTGGTGACGTCCAGATCTGCATCCATAAGATCGCTCTGAGTGTCATCTAAATTGACAATCAGAGACGTGTCATCAGTGGACGCATTCTTCTGTTTCAGTGAATCCATAGCTATCTTGTCCTCAATAGTGAGCGGCGCCACCACTGGAGCCGTTTCGGGTCGCGGCGGTGACATCATTGACGGCTTCTGTTCGGGAGTCGATTCTTGGCTATAGTTCTTACATTTTACCTCATTTTGTGATGTTTTCATATTTACTGTTAAAATTGTTGGCAAAAATTTTATTCAAAATACAGTATTTGTATAAAACAAACAATTTGTCAAATATTCATATGTTTTGTGCTTTTAATCGACGAATTCATTAGTGATTGACTACAATATTAGACTAAGAGCTGGTATTAAAGCAGTCAACTGTTTATTGGCTAAAAGTAAGTGATTTTTTAAAGTCAAATCGTGTCTTCTTATGTCTAATATAATGGAACTGTTGGCCAGTATTGTCTGACATTTGCTCTTAACATATGCTATAGTATTACTGTTTAAATGTTGATTCAAACGACGAGTTGTGAGAATCAATATAACAATTAAGTATTGATAACTCTTTGTATGAATCCATTACTTGTATTCGCGGATCTAATCGAGACATTCATATACGGATCGCCATCTTGTCAGCCGAAGACAATTGTTTCATTGTATTTCGTGACCAAATCATGTGTGAAACTCATTATTTTCAGTCAATTCAGCCAATCATTCAATCTTTGTTTGTCTTTCACTTCAGGCATCCGTTTATAAGTGAATCCAATATTGAATTGAAATAACATTTTCTATGGTTTTGTCGATATTTAGTGTGTTTTTAACGACGATATCATGTATTGTAATGAGAGCTCAGGTATTGGTCAGACAGGAAGGGCTGAATCGCAGCGCAAAACACTATAACATATTAAACACTACTAATCCTTACCCTTTGATGAATGATTAGTTGTATCGTTACTGATGTCCTATAAATAGATCAATACGTGAGACAATTGGTGTCATTCATGGGTGATATGGCATAAGTGATGGTCAGACCTCTCGCTCGGCGTCTTTCAGCTCCTCATCGACGGTCAGTTGGAGGGCGTCTTCGAGTATATCTGACGCCTCGTAAGATCTGGTCTTCTCAGCGGTGGTCGACATCGAGTTCTTATCCGTATTATCACTCATCATATGTCGTGGCAATCGTGTCTTCGCGAGCGCTATTCCAGTCCCCTATATATCAGTCACACTATACGGTGTCCGCGATGTGAGTAGTGGTCAGTGAGTGTCCCGTCGGGAGAGTTATGGCCACAAAATGTGTGGATTTAATGGTAAATGTATTCAATTGAATGACAATTATATTGAATGCAATCAACACTTCATAACGCCATTCAATCTATGGCTCAATTCTACAGCAATTACGACAATATTTGCTATAATTTTTGCAAATAATTTGGTCACAAGAAAGTGATTATTAAATTTAATTCAATTAATTAATTGTCAATTAAATGATTAAGATTTTAGTTGACTCTTATTGTGCTATAGTTTTGTAATCCTTTTATTATTGAAAATACTTGAAAATAATGTTATATTCATTAAAATATTCACTTTAAATAAAGTACTAAAAGTGAGAGAAAATATTTTAATGAAAATTCAAATATAGATTTATTTAATTGATTACAATTTGATTATAATTATGACATGAATTTAAATGGAGAGAATTGTTTCGTATACAGAGAAACAATTGGTGTTGTGTTTTAATTGTCTTATATTTAAGCCATTAATGTATATAAAAACGTTAAACACATGAATGTATTCATCAAAATAATCACATTTTTATAATTACAATATCTTTTTTGTTTTGTTTTTGTTAATGATTTACAATGAGATGAATGAAAGGTCACACAAGAGTGTGTGACCACTGATGCACTTAATCCCTGTCGTCTTTGGGCTGTGAGGTCTTGCCATCGCAGGCAACGATCTTCACTTTGTCCGCTTTGACCAACTCTTGCACTTCTCGGAACTCCACGTCTTTCAGCACAAAAGTCCACACATTATCGCAAAATCTATATGTCTTGAGGTGTCCGGCCTTCGGGTATAACACATGTCATAAGACAATGGTTTGAATGAGTCAACCAAATGATGGCATACCTTAAATGAGAGCCGTGTCTTCACTCTAGTGGCCAGCGATTGGTTGATTGATTTGTCGAATTGGATCAACACTTTGACCGCCAATTGAGGACTGATTTGACCCGACTTTAGGCCGCAAAGAGAGAGAGAGACGAAGACATGAAGTGAATGATTGAGTGATTGTATGGGGAAAGGGATAGCAAGCACAGAGAAAACAACTTAAACATGTATACGTTTTGAATGTGTAAATGTTTTACAAAAAACATACATATGTTCTATATTTGTAAAACATAGGAATGTTTATTGAAAAAACACTCCTATGTTTTGTCACAACCGTTAGTTAGTTCACTAGAGTGTGCTATAAGTCTATCATCAATAACACTGTGTTTGCACATGCGCACTGAACGGGACAGTTACAAGTGAGCGCAAAATATGCATTCAAACAAAGGGACTTACATGTGGTTGCAATGGTGTTGTGTTTACTAAATGACAATTAAAATTTACCTATAATTTGTTAATTTGTAATTACATTAAACTGATTTCCAAGGTATTTATATAATATATGAGCTGCAACTGTTCCGTTCGCTCATTAATAGCTATAATAATTTTATGTTTTGTTTTCAGTACATGGTATGAACACCACCACAAGTAGTCGATGTTTTGCTTGACCAGTTGATACAATACTTCAAGTAATATATAAATGTTTTATTATTAACCAAATTGTAACTGTTCCGTTCATTGGGTTATATTTAGGCATTGGCTTTGGTATTGACTATTATAAGAAATATAGTCTATTTGTCGATTGAAAGACTACTTTTTAATTGACCGTACAGTGAAATAAATCATCTCGATGTTGATATATTGTTGGCTAGCGTTGATCAGTGATGAACGGAACAGTTTAAATCACTAAACCAATTGTAATTAAAACCAATAGTTAATCTGTTGTTAATTTTGTATTCAAATAATGTTTAAAAAATAAATATCTACATGTTTTCAAATAAATATCTACATGTTTTCAAATAAATATCTACATGTTTTCAAATAAATATCTACATGTTTTCAAATAAATATCTACATGTTTTCAAATAAATATCTACATGTTTTCAAATAAATATCTACATGTTTTCAAATAAATATCTACATGTTTTCAAATAAATATCTACATGTTTTCAAATAAATATCTGCATGTTTTCAAATAAACATCTACATGTTTTTCAATGAATGGCTATGTTTTATTTAGAACATACGTATGTTGTACATATATTTTCAATTAAACATTTGTATGTTTTTTACTAAACATGCAAATGTTGTCATAAATTGTCCCAAAAACAGCACATTCGTATGTTTTCTATGGAATAGCTCTATGTTTTCTTTTTCTCTGTGAGGGTTGGGAAGGGATGCATACCTGTATGAACTCGTCGAGTGTCTCCTGTAATGTATGGCCTAATGTTGTGTTTCTATACAATTGATAACTCATTTCTAATTAATTTATTATTATATAAATGTTTAGTATTTTTAACAACAATTTATTTTAAACACAATTAAAAGTCATTTGTTTTTTTGGCAGCAATTCATATGATTTACGTTTTGGTAAACAATGTATTATTTTACGACAATAAATGACGTAAACATAAGGGGGTGTGAAATAATGGGGGGTTTTGTGCGACAAATACACACTTATGTGCAAAAAGGGGTTCAATTGGGGGCACAGAATGTGAGGCATATATGATGTGAAACACAGTCCTATACAGTATAATGCGTGAAAAATTTTTACTGAAAATAAAGTCTATAATTAGTTTTTATAGTGAATGCCATTCATTGACTAATTAATCATTGATTTAATGACACAATTAATGCTTACAATTGTTAGTTTTGACGCTTACTTTGTTTGAAATAAATGTTGCATTTATGGCACCAATCAATTAGTTATAGAAAGTAGTGATTAATATTGGCTCAAATGTCCATTCAGTTAAACATATTTTTTATAACAATTATAAATTAATAATTTTAAATTATAATTTAGGTTTAATTTTGATTAAGTACTAAATACTTGTGCAATTGAAGTACACAATCATTTATTGATTATCACATAATTGTTGTATATGTAAAGTATATTTAAAATGTAAAACAATTTAACATTAACTCCAGATAAGATTATCAAGAATTTTAAATACCTAGCTCAATTTTGCTTGTACCAACCCGGTTGACCAGGTGAAAATTTTTTATAAGAATTTATTTTAATAATGAAATAAATATTATAAAACTAATAAATTATTGTTTTTATAATATAATATTCTTTGAATATACAGTATAAGTGGTATAGGTTTATAAGGTTTATAAATTAATATTAGATAACGTGGTATTCATAAATATATTGTCAATTAGAATAAATATTTATTTTACGATATACAATATACATGTGTGTAATTAATGTAGTGGTACTGTATTAGCTGATAGTGGGCTAATTTATTATAAATATAAACATGTTCAAATAGTCTTACAAACTTTATAAGTTGAATATGAATTAATTCATTAAAGTCTAGATAAAATAGTTATTGTTTAGAAGAAGCGAGTTTGATATGACACAAATTGGCTATAATTAATAAGTTTGTAAATTTAATGTTTCAATTTATGCTCACAAGTGTTTGTCTATCAGTAAGTGTTTTATGAATTAATTAATTGTTTGTAAATTATATTTTCATCACGAGTTAAAAAACATACAAAATATAGACCAAAACGTTAGTTATTTTACGAGAGGGGAGGAGAGAGAGAGAGAGAGAGAGAGAGACTGTGTTTCGAGTTTGAGTTGAGTTGACGTATGAAATGATGGGTTTTAGAGGCAAAACATTGACAACAAAATCACAATCGCATTGAAAAGCATTGATTAGTGTTTACATTGAATTGACTTTTAATCTCAATTCATATCTCAAACCATATTATAATCGATTCATTGAATGAATGCACAGATTATAGGTTTGAGTGTCGCTTAAAGTGTGTCAGTCTTGGGATCAGTCTATGTATTGATGAACCACTGAATGGTGGAAACGTTAACAGATGTCTCATTCCTCTCATACGGCACTCATTGGTGACCAAAGTGTGGACGAATCGGAAACCGAATCACTTAAACACTCGATGAAGTATCACATGAAGTATGGAAGCACTGGAAGTGACCACAAGAGTGTCAACAAATATAAATACATAACACATTCGGTTCAGCCGACAGACACTCTTCAGGGACTGGCCTTACGATACGAAGTGACGGCAAGTATTTCATTGATTACATGTTGAATGCAATTGCGATTAATGGTGTGATTATGTCTTCATTTGCGGACCAAAAGGTGGAACAAATCAAAAAAGCCAACAATTTGTGGTCAAATGATAACCAATGGCTGCGGTCGAGGACTAACATATCGATACCAGTGCTGTTGGCGGAGACCACTATTGAGACACCGCTTTATTCTTGTAGTAATAGTGAAAGCAGTTCCCAAACGACTAGTCCTCAAGACAGTCATCTCAATAACGGATCCCATTGTTCAGCAATAGTGACGGCAAACCATTCGACTGTAGATTGTGTTGACATTCCTCTCGACCACAAGAAGTCGAAGCAAAGGAATTCATCGCACGAGTCATCAAAGTCTAAGTTAAAGAATGGCTTCAAAACGGCGTCCCTTTTAGTGTCAAACGACGGACAGACACATGATTTGGACAGTTATCACAACAATGACGATATGGACGAAAGTGCGGCCGATTTCCTGATCCGAATCGACAGTTCAATCGCCAAATCCAAAGATAAGATGAAAGATATGCAACAAAACCGATTGACTGGAACTCATTCGGACGACGACCTGTTCCGTCAGAACCACTCTTCCCAACGCTCAGCCCTGAGGCGACACCACAGCAACACTTCGCGGCCCCATTCGGCCAACTCGTCGGCCAATCAGATCCACGATTTTCCGCAACCATTAGTTATGATGACTCACAAGAGGAAAGTGAAGTCGAGTCTTAGACGTCTGGAGCGAACACAAGACGAGATCTTTGAATTATGAACTAATTATATGATAATAACCGTACAACTCATCCAAGAGATTCTTATGGCTAATTGTACTCTCCATACGGATGGCCATTGTGTCCATTCACCAGTCATTCACACCAATGACTCGCATCATATGACATGAAATCACAATTTAAAACTTCATATCAAGTATTTAATGACTGAAACGATTATTTTAAATGAATTTATATTTAAATATAATTAATATATTATTTTACTGTTATATTGCGGTTAAACTCTAATAAATAGTTTTATTTATACCTTTAAAGTAAAAAAAACTAATTATGAAAAACCATTTAAATTCAATTAAACAGAGATTGAAATTATATTCAAAAAATCTTTATTCAAAACGATTTTATTGTGGATTTCGATACAATTTTTAAAATTAAATTATTTTTTCGATTTCTGGGCCTTTTTTGCGCGATCGGCGGCCACTTTGTCTCGGGTCGCCTTCAGGAGCGCCTTCTTCTTAGCGATCTCTTCTCTATAGGCTTTATATTTCCTAACTTTGACGCCGAGTGTGAGGCCAGCCTTCTTCAGCTCCTTCTCATCCACTTTCTCTCCCTTACGCTTTCGGAGCAACACTTGTCGCGCAGCTCTTCGGCGCTCGTTATCAGTGCGCGCGTACTTCTTCAGCACCGCTGAGTACGGATTCAATTTACGCATAACCAACGGGTTCTTCAGTGGATTCCTCTTCACCACTCGTCTCGAAATTGTTGTCCTGAAAAGGAATCAAACATTTAGTTTTGAAACACAAACCAATTTTCAATTCAAGAGACTTTGTTAAACTCAGAAAACTGTTAATAATCATAAATCATAGCCCAGTAGTAAATCATCACAGAATAAACTTTAGAGAAATGCATAAAAAAGTACTCACTTTCGTGGTCTCAAAGCCTTCTGGATCTCCTCGCTCTTCAGAATCCTCGAGAGGTCTGTGTTCGCCATCTTTGGCTGAGGAAGACTGTCAACAGATAATAACAATCGTTACAATAAATCATTCAAAATGTACTGCAATTGTAAATTACTTGTAATGTCTCTTCAGTTTGGACTCTGTCTTCCAGGTTCCGTACAACTCATCCAACTTTCTGAACGCACTCTCAGTCCAGATGACAAACCTTCCGGCGTGTCCTCCGGGCGCCAAACGCAACAAATTAAGCTTTTCTACGTTCAAAGTCTCAATACCTGTGAAGTTATATCAATACAATTTAATTAACAAATGTTTGCAAATAAAACAATCATTCAATCAATACCTGGAATATTACGGAAAGCCTTAGTCAGTCCGGAGTCGTTGCCGTAGACAATGACGGGTCCGAGTCGTTGGACACGACGCCTGTCCCTCATCTTTCCCTTTCCCGCGCGTAAGCGCTTCGACTTATAGACCTTTTCGATGTCATTCCAGGCCTTAATGCTTCTCAAGAATTGAACCGCTTGTTTGGTCTTATTGTACTCCTGGATCTTATCCGAGACAACCAATGGAAACTCAGGCACCTCTTCGATCAGATGGCCTGAAGAGTAGATCATTCAGTGTTAACACACATTCAAAGACAACCGTTTATAACGACAAACCTTTGCTCATCACGAGTGCGGGCACTCCGGACGCAGCGATGGCCGACACGATAGCATAGCGGCGCTGATTGCGGTTCACCTTCCGGTGCCATCGCCTCCACGTGCGGATCGGCGCAAACATACGTCCGCCGCGACACATGTTGCCGAACGCTCCCTGACCTGAGCGGTGAGTACCACCGCCTCGAACGCGAGGAATACGGGCCACAGCGCGACCCGTTCCCCACGACTCGGCGCTCGTCTGGTGACCTGATTTTCACGCAAAACAATTGCTCACAATTAATACACAATAAAAATGACTATTAAATCAATTAAGTGATAGTTAGAAGAAGTATCAGGGCTTTTGTGGGGTAAAATCAGTCGTTATTCATAAACACGGACCAAAAGCAAAGTCATCATGAGTTTGTTGCGGACATTAAGACCTATTGGTGACGACATGATTACATACCGGCTTCGCGAGAGACGGCATAGGGATGTCTCTTATTCTTGCGGACGTTTGTGTGGACAAAGTTGACGACATCCGTGCGAATGGGCGCCCGAAACACAGCCGGAAGTTTCACCGAAACGCCCGAATTCTCATTCTTCTCGGTGTAGACACTGACCAAAGGCCGGTACGCGGCGGTCGTCTGAGGAGACAATTCATGCCATTAGTCATTATTAACACATTTTAAGCTGCATTTTGCCCATAGATTTAATGAGAGCTAAATTGGCATTCATTTAACGCTTAATTTAACGCTAATTAACAATAAGTTTGACTAAAGAAGTGTTAAAAGTGAGCGAATGGTTAACTGAATCAAGTGTTGGATGTGTTAAAAGTGATAAAATAGTGGCAAATCATACCATTATATGGTTTGAAGACTTGTGTGGTTTGAAACACGTGTCGATTGTCTTCACATTGAAGACCAGAAAAGGAAGAAAATGGTTGAAAGCGTTTGCAGTCAAGCCTTCTATACATCAATGATGTCTACTTTTATTCACACTTTTTATGACAACGTTTTTATGTGAAAGTTATGCTCAAATGAATTGAAAACTTTTTTAACTTTTTAACTTGAACTTTATCATTTTTATTTTTTCTAATCTAGTTTTCATTTATTTAATTACCATGATTTATAAATGCAACTTTTAACAATAATATATTTGATTTATTTGTATATTTTCATAACTAAAATACATTTACATACAAATAGAAATTTAATGTATAAGATTTAAGGTTAATTTAATTGAGTATTAACTGTGAACATGATAGTAAGAATTTTAATTTATAAAAATTATATTAACAAATAGTTTTGATTATAAAAAACTTTAACCAATTATCGTTTAGAGTTATTGTTTAAATCATAATTAGTTTAATGGTTATAATTGTTAAAATTTTATCATAAATACAGTCATATTGTGTTAAATACATATTAATTAATGTAATTAAAACTTTTTAACACTAGATGTTTACTAAATTCAATAATTGGCCATAATTTAAACGATTGTCATTGTCTTTACATGTAACATGTAAGTTTTCTTCTGGAACCGATGTCTTAAAGTAGATGTCCTGAAGGTATGCCATCTGTTGATAGGTTTGCAGCAAATCTTAAGTACAATAAAAGTTTTTTTGTCATTCAAGACAATGAGTTGTTCCCAAAACAACTCTTTGTCTGTTTGACCACTTCTTTGCCTAAGGATTGACTGCTCTAATGATATGATGAAAGATATGGTTTCAAAACCCATAGCGAAGACTGATTTCAAAGTCTTCAATGCCTTCAATACCATCGAAGGCGACAAAACTAATCGCCAGAAGTCTTGCGTTGTTTTACCGCAAAGATATTTGGCGTTAATGTCTTTGTCGATGGGTTTTATACTGATATGGATATCAATGATGGCATCGGTTCTCGTGTCCAACACTTTTAAAGACAATGTGTCGGCGAAACAAACGCTTCATGTCTTTCAAACTCACAAACAAATGGC